ATATACACACTGTATATATAAAAGAACAGAAGTTTTTGAAGTAGTTGAAATCCTATGTGCAGAAATGGAAAATGACACGTGTAATATTGCCCTCTAAAATGTAGTATAAAGCAAAAATAAAGTATGAATAAATGTACTTTGTTACATTGCACCACTGATCTACAAGAAGGGATACATCTGCCACTAATTCTAACAGCTCTTGATCAGCTGACAGTAACACAGAGACACATGTACTCACATGAGCACGGCTTCTTTGGGTTTTCCTGCTTTGATGAACTCAACCTCGGCCTCCGGAAACTTGCCCTGGAAGACGATCAGAAATATCAGAAGTACTGTAAGCACTACCTACTGTTCTTCACACAGACTAGAGCATGTTTAGTGATAGGGAGTATAAGCAGAAATTACATTTACAATGATCATCACTACAATGAGAACGTATGTTGGATGTTATGAAAATGTATCTTGTTGAATTTGGTGGAAAGATATCTTCTGATAGGAGCCGACTATCACATATAAGAATGTATGCAGACTAAAGGTATATTCACATGTTTACAAGCTTGGAATCATTTCATAGCCGTTCGGAATGATGGACAGAATCATGGATGGATTGCTGAAGAGGCCAACCGGGCACAGGCCCAGGGGCCTTAAGTGTCAGGGGCCCCCCCCTCTGGCCTTCACCTACAAAATGTCACTCCAAGAGGCCCATACAAAGCATGAAGAGAAATACAATTACCACAAAGAAACATTAAGCTACTACAAAGAGACACAAAAAGACCAAAAGAGACACAAAACAACTGCAAAGAGACACAAAATGATAAAAAGAGACTCAAAACGAAAACAAAAGGAGGAACAAAACTACAGACAAAAAATAACTACAGAAAGACATAACAACTACAAAGTGACACCCAATTACCAGGGAGAGACACAAAGCCACGCAGAGATGTGCAACGACGATAACAACATAAAGAGTCCAAATAACTACAAAGTCTGTATGAGGTGGTGGGACCTTTTGCATGTCTCATAATGTCCCCCCAAGGACAGAACTATAAAGATAACAAAAATAGGCACTGCAGCAACCAGACAGTTTTGCAGAAGGAGATAATAGGCTTTTCAAGATAATGTGGTATGTGGAGGTGAGAGTTAAAAAAACAAAAACACCGGTTTTGGTAATGCGTATCCCATGGAGGTACAGTATGGACAGCCGATAGGTTACTGCATGCAGCAGGACCGGGACAGATTTACCTCATCTTCCAGGTATATGGCGTGTTTGAGGTGGATCTCAGGAATCTTCTCCTTACTGGAAAGACGAGCCAAATCGAAGGCAAAGTCAAACGAGCTGGGGAGTAAATAAAGAAATCAAGCCAGGTTTCACAATACAGTCACTGGCTGGAGGATACACTTTCAGTTGCTCTCTTGACCTACTGTATTGATCCCAGTTTCTCTTTAGGGACTCAATGACTATCATGACTCAGAAACTTTTAAGATGCAATTCGTTTGTAGAGGTTACATTTGTTGGATCTCCCTGCCAGACAATAAAACTAATTAAACGTTTAAATTTAGTTTTTAAACAGTTCACGTGAGACATTCCTGGCAATATCATGACATTTTTTTTCTGAAAGTCATTGTAACAAGAATCGGTCAAAATAAAGAGTCAGTATTTTAAAATAATGAAAAATAGTCATTCTTTTCAGATAATAAAATCATTATTTTTAGATACTGACTCATTATTTTGAAATACTTCCTCATTAACTTGTGAAAAATTCACATTACAATGCCTGACATGATCTTTTTGTTTTTATCATCACTTGGCGGGAATGGGCTTCAGCGCATCCGACTCTGGATGCTCAGTAAATGAAAAATGAACCACCGTGCATGTTGTGTCTATGTGTCGTGGTGCAGCTCACAAGTTATTTGAAGCAAACTCAATGGCGTATTCCAGGAGGCCGAACTTGTTGAGCAGCTTGACGGCTGCCTCTCCTCCCAGGCTCCGAGCCCACAGGTAGGCCACCTGCTTCTGAGCTGCAGCGCCTCCGTGGCTCTTAGCCACCTGACACACACAAAAATATATGTGGTAAATATAGATATATATATATATATATATATATATATATATATATATCACTATAGGAGCTCTGCGGCAGTGTGGCTCCCTAGCACCCTCACCACAGATAATCCCAGAGAAAAACATTTGATAGCAGCTATAAAGTTGCACTGTGCTCCCAGAGCAGCAGCCGCAATAAACACCGACGACGGGGGAAGCACAGGCTTGTAACGATGCCGTGCCCATGAAGTCTAATCTCAATTTACTTCACGTCCTCCTATTCAGCATTCATAAGCTGTACATATGTATTGAATAAATGGCTTATGACACGAAATAATGTAATTATACGCAGCTATAAAAACCTTTTATGTGTTTATTAATGTACGGTATTTGTCAGCAATTATAACTTCTGTATTAAAATGAAGCGCCACACAGGGAAGCAAGTTAAATACACGTTAGACTTCTAATTTGACCGGTGAAATGACATTCACCACAAAAAATTGTATAATATAGCAATCTCAAGAATTTTTAAAGCTTTTTATTAAAGCCAGTAAGTGTTTTATGTGATTATAGAATCTTCCAATTTACTTTGGTGACGTAAGTATTTGTTTGGAGAACCATTTTTGTTCTTCGATCTATGCTGTATGCCTCATTGTTGCTCTTTTTTTATGCTTCCACTAAGTTGATGTCAAAGTCGGAAGTTCTCTAATCACTTCGTTTGTGTCTATAATTTGTATAAACTCCTTTGAACCCATACTTTCAACCTATAAAAATCAAAACATTGCATAAAACATATTTTAAGTCACGGCCGTGTAATTGCGTGTCTAAACTCACTATATTTTTTATGTAGTATTTTTTTTGATTTACTTGTAATAATAAGCACAGGGCTCTCTTGTGTTGTATAACTGACACGTTGAAGGTAGATACGGTGGGAGCTGCAAGGGATGAGCTAAGGCCACTGTCAACATTAGTAGTGTGGAAGAAGGTTCTAGGCTTTCAAAAAAATACGATTGCAGTTCAAACATTTGGAGTATAAAACTCTACATATCTTTGGAGATGTAAAGCCACTAACAGCTATCGAGCAAACAAAACAAATATCTACCCTGTATGCATCCTCCCACATGTCGTTGACTCTGTACATGTGGACGGCAGCCTTCCACTCTTCAGCCTCTATGAAGTGGTACTCTGCCTCTGAGAACCTGGATTCAGCCTCCAACTCCTACAAAAACACATTTACACCATGCACATCAACATATCAGGGACAGTAAGACCTCTCAAAACCACATGATTGATTGTACAGAAAACGGATTATATTACACATTACTAGTATAATTCATGGCCCTTCGGCTGTACTCTTTTTGTGACACAGCAAAAAAACAACTGCTGACAAAAGCAAGGAAACCCAATTTAACAACTTAATGATGAAACTCTTTTGGATTTTTATGAAATCTTCTTTGCTGCAACTATCGGGAGCTTAAAGGGACTTTAAGTCTCAGAGCGTGAGCGGTGGAATGTAACTACGGTAATTTAATCAAGCACTGTACTTAAAGTTACTACGGGGAGCTTTAATTTTGTGTTGATTTTAGCGGCCTCTGTAGACAAAAGTGGTAGTGCTTCCCACCACCAGAGTCTCCTCTCATGTGACTGCAGCAGGGTCTGACAGTCTACCCCGCTCAGTCCTGGTTCTCCCATGCATCCCTTCCATCCAGCGGGCCCAACAATACGGCCCGGGTCACCTTTGCAGGGAATTAGTCCCGATGACCAGCTTTAAGAACAACTACATAGCCAACATTCTTGCTGATGGTTCTTGTTTGCTTATCTAGGTCATATAGAGGCGTCAGCATTACATTGAGACTGTTTCACAACCAGTTAAAAGATCCTTGTAGTAACTTTCAGTAAAAGGTTTGAGTGCTTCCTCCACCACTGCATAATGTTATAAAATTAGACATGCGTGTGGTCTAATTGTGTGCATCCAAAAAAATTTGTTTTGTTTCATGGGCTTCTTTATCTGAATTCAGAGAAGTATTCTCAGTTAGAGACATTTCTAATTAATATTACAGTTCAAAGCACTGCAGGGCAATTCTCACATGATAATTGGACAACCACAAAACTGTGAACATGTTGTCTGCTGTTACATAAGACAGAGAACGGTAAAAAAAAAAAAGAAAGAAAATGTGATTAAGCTGCAAGGGTGCCAGAACTGGAGCCTATGAGAGCTTTTTGGATAGGAAACCTCATCCATTGCTAATGAGGGCGCTGAGCAGCGGAAAAATAATGACACCAAGCAAGGGATCAACAGTCCTTCGGCCACTGAAAATGACAACCATGGGACGAGAAGAAAAACAAAAATCAAAGCTGCAAGTGTGACGAACAGGCCTTCAACCCCATTATGTTTGAAATACCGCTTTGTGACTTTTGTCTGTAAAAAAGCGCTGTATAAATAAATCTCATCGGACACGTTTACTGCTTGAAAATGATGTATTGCGAATTTTGTTCCACCTCCTGTGTCAACTATGTGGTGCTAGAAAACTCACACTGTTTATACGTCATGTTGCTGTACAGCACGTGTAGACCACGCCATGGAACTTTCATGTAAATCAAATGATCTTTGTCATTTGATTTACATTTACGTGCGGCTCGTGTTCTCACATTGTTTAACGGTGACGTCCGTGGTATTTTTATGTATTATTCTTGCAAATTTAAGACTTTATAATCTCAGAGAATATCAGAGTTTGTTTCTTGTAAATTTACAACTCTAATCTCAGTGTATTTTCATTACTTTTTTTATTTTTTTCCTCTGAATATTACCTAACCTGACCCACCAGATGGTTTATTACACAGAACCATCTGAGAAGCCGTGATTGAATACTCTTTGGAAAAAAAAAAACTTTTCAAAAAAGACTTGGCAGGTGATTGGATGAACCATCTGTCAATCAAACTATTCCCGAACCCAGCAAAAACATCTTCTCCATCGAGAAAAGCTTTCAGTGTTGATATTTGCGCTTTTTTCCATGGGGAACTGCTCTCCAGTTCTGATAAAACTGATGCCATTGCAGCATCTATGCTAACCTCTTCATCACTATAAAAATGTATATGATATGTGTGATATGTGAACCTGCAATTCTCGCGGGATCTTGACATCGCGAGAATCCAGCTGCTCTGCAAGGTAAAATATTTACCCTCTTCCCCAACTCTGTAATATTCCGATACCTACGATGGCCCTACTACACGGTCATGAAACACAATGACATTACACTAATGTACCTTGGCCAGGTGCAGGTGGGTCTCCGTGAGCAGGTCGGGGTGATGCTTGGCCACCAGGCGAATGACATCATCAAACATCCGGTTCTTCTTGTACATGGTTATGGCGAGGTCAGGCTGCTTCACTGTGGCAAATAGCCTGCGAGCACACACACAAACACGCACACACATAGATGACTATAGTAACTGAACGGTTTGTTTTCGGGGGGGGGGGGTTTATGTTTGAGTGCCAAAAGACTTCAGTCGAGACGTAATAAAGAATCAGTCAGTTTAACTGAGGGGTCTGAAATTTCCACTTCGTCCAACGTCAAACATTGTTTTCCTTATTTTTCTTGCTGTAATTACTTCGAACACGGTCACATTACTTCGCCTCGCTCCATTTTCATGCACCCAGCGGCCGATGATGCAGCAAATTACTAGAAATAAATCTCCATTTACCTCTCGGCCTCCTTGAATTTCCCATCTCTCTCCAGCTCCTGAGCTCTGCTGATGTACAGAGCCATGACCTCCTCCTCTGTCATACACTCCACCGCCAACTGCAGACAAAATGCACCAACAAAAATGGCCATGGCTTTTTGTTTCACAGCTACACCGACATCAGTGGCCAGTGGTCATCCCATGATTGTCATCATGGGATTTATTTGGGATCAAATATCCATTACTATTGTAATGGGAAAATATGTTTGTTATAATAATCATGGAAAGGTTTTATCTAATGTACCACTAAAGTCAGACATATGACAATGACATAGCAGTCTTTCTAATGTCTAGTAGTTAAGTAGTTAAGTTTTGAACCGAGTGCCTTGTGTGTTTTATAATTCTCACCCGAGGACGAAAAGATGAATGTCCAAGTATAAACGAGATAAAAGAGCAGATCCCTCTTTATTATTTAATCAGTTAGCAATGAACTTAAATGTCTTGTTTGCTTTTGCTCTTACAGAAGAGTTAAAAGGCTGATGATCCTGATTTCATGTTTGAATGTCCTCCCTGACATCAGACCTTTGAACGAACAAAACAACCTGCGTAGAGAAAACGCATTCTCCCCTGTTTGGATATACCCAGGAGGAGGGGGATATAACGACGTGATTTCTGTGACTTTTTTGACAGCCTCCCTACTGTACACTGAAATGTGTGTCAGTGGAGACACTCTCCTATTTGCAAATATTAAAAGACGAACAACGTTGATTCTCTCAAGACTTTGTTTATTGACATAGATTGGAAAACTCTTCTCCCGATTGATCATAGATAATTTTCCATAACACTATCCTGTCAAAACCATTTGTTTTCATGATCAATATGTTAATATTATTATTTTCCTTTTTGTAAACAGGAACATGTTACTGATACTGTGTTTTCGCCTGAATGATCCAAATTGGTCTCTCTTTATTTGACACAGTTGTTGGTGTAGTTTGTGTCCATACTAACCTTATGAGCCTCCTCCCAGCGTCCTGCTGTAGTGTACATGTCTATAGCATCCTTGATGTGACCTCCTTTCACAAACAGTTGCTCTGCCACCTACAGGCCGTAAACACACAGAATACACACAAAATACACTCAGAAAATATAAAATACAGGCTGAATATCATAAGATCTCTATATAGAAGTTCATATTTTACATTAGTTTGGGAGGCACTTGGAAAAATAAATGATTTTTAAACCTCCTGACACATCCACAGCACATCAATATATTAGAATGGCACTCCTGCAGGGTAAAAAGAGCTCAAAAAACACATATAGAGCTAATTTAAGAGCAGGTATCTGCACTCTGTTAATGGAACAATTTAGGAACGATTGGGCAGAAGGAAAAGGGAAAAAAATCCACCACGACCAGATTTTTGCTACGTAAAGGAAAGACGTATTTCCCATTGAACCTGTTCTAACACTGGCATCAACGAAGCAAAAACGTTGAGTCATTGTTTCCTTTCGCGATAATTTCTGCACTGACATCACAGGTGTGAGCTTCCTCCATTGTTTTAGTTTGCACTGAATTATACTTTCCGGCAACTTCCACAAGTTGGAAAGCAGAGAGCCTGTTATCTTAATTGCTTTCTGTGAATGTGCCCATAGAGCAAACAGACTGAAATGGCCGGCTATTTTCAGAGGCTGACAGTCTGTGGAGGCTGTTTGGCTCAGCTGAGCTCATCAGAATGAGCAGAGTACGCTTCGCCATCATCATCATCATCATCATCATCATCATCATCATCACCATCACCATCATTGCGTCTCTTCCTTTTTTCTTTTCTTTGTATTTATACCAGATTGTGTCTTTCTCCTCTTCTTTTAAACTGTATTTCTGGCAACTACTAAAACAATCTAACTTGTCATTATTGCCAAAGCACCCTCGAGCAAACACAGCCCATAATGCTCCATGGAGACCGAGCTAGAGCAAAAGCTGATCCTGGGCTCTGACTTTATGCTTGAAATGTATTCAGGGTGGTGTGTGTGTGTGTGTGTGTTTGTCATGGGTGAACGTATGTATTCCAGGGAGATGTGCCGAAATGAATTGCTGGTGGCAAAATGTCACTGCCTACTTCATCCCTCTGGCTGCCTCCATCTCACTGTCCTGGGGTTGTGTTCAGGGAGCAAAAGGTGCTCACCGAACCACAAAACCACCTCACGCCTCGTCCCTCCTCTCTCACCTCATAGTCCTGCATGGAGGCATAGTGCTGAGCTATCTTCACGTAGTATTTCCCCGCCGACGAATCCTCCTGCAGCTCCAGGATGTGGACGGCTTTCTTCCACTGACGAGCAGCGATGGCCGCCTTGATGGCTTTGAGCGAGCAGCTAAGGGTGGATCGGAGAAAGACAACAGAGAAGACTTAAGTGTTGTGTGTATCCATACATTTTCACTCACCTCACCTTCTAGAATCGTCTCCATACTAAAAACTAAAAGGCTAAAAACCTAGACCACATTTTGGCCTTTGTCATGGCTCAAAAACTGACATTCATGGAAAAGGTTGGTCGTATTTTTAACCGGAGCATCTGCAGAGTAATTCCATAGCCGTTGTGTTATGATTCACTAGAGTTTGACGAAATACGAGATGAATGAATCCCATTTTTTCTTCTCTTCACCGCCATCTTGACTGTAAGGGAGCCAAGGAGGGACAACTGAAGGTTCCACTCTTTGTTTGGGAGGGGGGGAAAACCTGGTGGAAGATCAGCACTCTACTGTGTGCACTTTTACATTTCTACTCATATTTAATTTATGTACCTCTTAGTATTTATTTCTGTTACTTTTTATACTTACCTGTATTTATTTCTGTCCTTGTGCTCCTGCAACAACAGAGTTTCCCCGCTGGGGATCAATAGAGGTTTATCTTATCTGATTGTGTTGCTCCAACAACACAGCAAACTTGAATTGTGGAAAGTGAATTAACTTTGGTTAGGATTTGTTACGCCAAATCATTTTATTAAGACAGGCACGGATTGAAACTTTTTCTGGCAGGAGAAACTAGCAGCAGAAGAAGTACATTTCAAACCTTTGTTTCTGTGGAGAGTTTTAGCTTCCCACAGTCAAAATTCAGTTACTCTGATGCTTTTTCAACTTGAAAAGAATAAAAATCTGGGCGCTGTATTTATTTGGTATTTTTGGGGAATATAATCGTGTTTAAAGACATCTATTATGGTCCTGGTGATGATTTAAAGAACTATCGGCCGTTTTCTTTTAACGTGTCATCTTTCCTCCTCTCCATCTGCCAAAATATTTGTCTCTTGACTCCTCTACACTACATACCCTGCTTCAATGAAATGGTTGATGGCGGCGTCCATCTGTTTCTGCTGGACGAGGTATTCTCCCCAGGCCTCCTCCAGTTTCACCACCTCAGCAGGGAAGGCGAGGCGTGCCAGCTCAACCGCTACAGGAAGCAGAAACTTTACTTAATATACTGTACATTTACTGTAGTGTATACCCACATTCAACTAAACAACATGCGTCCAGCTGTTGTTGCCCAAAATCTTGTCACATGATATTGCTTGTACCTTTTGTACAATAAATACTGTAATTATGGCGAATGTACAACCAGCCATGCCAGCTGCCCTGTGAGGCTGTGCTTCCAGCTAAATGCTAACGTCAGCATGCTAACATGCTCACAATGGCAATTCGAACATGCTAACATTTGGTAGTAACGCAAGTGCAGCTGAGGCTGATGGGAATGTCATTAGTTTTGCAGGTACTTGGTTTAGCACATTAGCATGCTAACATTTGCTAATAACACAAAGTGCAGCTAAGGCTGATGGGAGTTGGCGCTAGCGCTAGAGGAAAAGTCAGAGGGTCACCAGGGTTGTTAGGATTCCTCCTCTGGGACTCATGAATGCATGTAACTAGAGAGGCAATTCATCCAATAGTTATTGATATATTCAGTCTGGACCAAAGCGGCGGACCGACCAATCGATCGACATTGCCCTCCCTAAAGCTGCTAGCATGACAAAAAAAAATAAAAAAAATCACCAAACATACACATTTTTGGTAGTTATTCAAAATATAGGCTAAGCATATTCATGCCATCTACATGTCATTTATTTACCTTTCCTGAAGGCACCTCCTTTGACGTAGCACTCCAAAGCTCTCTGGTTGTTTCTGATCTCCTCATACAGATCTCCTGCCTGGTCAGAAGATATAGAGCGTATCAATGTATTTATTATATTATATAAGTCAGGGTTGTTGGGAATGGAAACTATACTGCCAAAAAAAAGTATGTGGAAACTGTGACACATACGTTTGTGCACTTTTGGTTTGGGCTGCTTTTCAAGGTTCGTATTGATAATCATGGCAACAAGGTCCAAGCGCACAAAGCAAGGTCCATAAAGAAACGGTTTAGCCAGTTTGGTGTGGAAGAACTTGACTGGCCTGCACAGAGCCCCGACCTCAACCCCCATCCAACACCTTTGGCATGAACTGGAGCACCGGCTGTGAGCCAGACCTGATCACCCAACATCAGTGTCTGACCTCACTGATTCCCTTGTGGCTGGATGGAAGCCAAATCTCGTAGAAAGCCTTCCCAGAAGACTGGAGGTTGTTATCGCAACACATAAAAAAAAACATGACTTTGGAAAGAGATGTTAAACTATCACATATGGGTGTAAAGTCTGGCTGTCCACATACTTAATTCACTTAGGTCACACATTTCTTCAATAACAGAATGCACAACATGTGATGTTTGCAAGATACGGAAAATATACAGAATGTCGACCCTCAAAACACCTAAACTGATGAAACCCCACACCATCAAAACGCAGCAAACACATTTTGTTCTGAAGTTTTGTTCTCTCCTTCCCACCTGTTACATAAACACAGATGGCTCCGGGAGGAGAACGGAGTTCTCAGACAAACGGCTAAAGAAAGAGACGTAGAGAAATAACAGACAGATGGAGGGAGACAGAGTGTAAAACTGCAAACAAAAAAAGGAAGAAAAAAAAGTTCTTCTGTTGATACCTCTCCTCTCCTGGCATTTATTAGGAGGAGAGAGGAAGATGAGGTAAAACAGGAGGAGAAAGATTTACCGGCATAGGATACCAGCTGGGATAAATTCTGCAATAAATAAGGCAGACAGATAGTTAGGTCAGATAGAGTCCACTCACCCTCTCATAAAACTCTCCCTTGATGAGATTGGCGGCGATGCGGCCGACGGTGTCGCTGTTGTTGGTGATCTCCGGATGGCTGATGGCCAGTCGGGCGGCTTTAGCCGGCAGTCCGGCCTTCAGGTAGAGGTTGATGGCACCCTGGAAGTCTCCCTCGCTCTCCTTCACCTCGCCAGCCTTCTCGTCCTGACCCGTCTCCGTTAACCACTGGTAGTGTTTCCCACGCAGGCTGTCCAGCTCCGGGTGGCCCTAAGAGAGTCATTTTTGGGGTTGAGGGTGGGGTTTGTTTCTACGTTAGACATGGCTTCAAATCTAGTGCTGAAACACTGCGTTGACTAAGAGAAAACTAATTGACAATTAAAAATAATGTAATCTTTAAGCCATTTACCAAGCAAACATCTTGAATATTCACTTTGATTTGCTGCTTTTCGCTATTAAAATACCGTTGTACATTTATTGTCTTGAGCTTTCTGGACTGTTAATTGGAAATAAGCAATTTGAAAATGTTAGCTTGGGTTTCGAGAAGATATATTTTCTGATGTAATCAACAGATTGATGAGACTGAGTTGTAGCCATATTTAAATAATTTGCAGTTAAAGGCCCAGTGTGTGGCATTATGGGGATCTATTGGCAGAAATGGAACATTAATAAGTATGTTTTCTTTCGTATATAATCACCTGAAAGAATCGTTGTGTTTACCATACCGTAGAATAAGCCGTTTATATCTACATACCAAGTGAGTTTCGTGAAAGCTGCGTGAAATCCGACACGCTGCACCTTTAAAAAGGTTCCACGTGTGGTTTTAGACCTCTAGTATCATGTCTGGAACCTACTAGGACCAATTCAAATTAAAATGTTGCACAGATCCAGCAGCGCAGAAATTTAACTCACACCCTACCTCGAACAGAGGTGGAAAAATAAGTGTCGACCTGAAACTCAATTCACTTTGCGTCTGGTTCTCGTTTTCTTTTGTGTACGGGATTAAGTCTGCGCTGAGGAGAATGCATTCAAGACTTAGAAAACTGGCTGTTTTGACAAAACTCCCCACAGCCTGCCCGTCTCTAGGCCTAGGGATCTAGATAGATAGATAGATATAAACTTTATTTATCCCCAGGGGGAAATTAGTTTGTAGCAGCAGCAATTTACAGAGTAAAATATAACTTATGGAATGCACAATATATACAGTACAATAAAATAACAAAGCAGATATTGAATTTGAAGGAATAGATTAATAAAAAAATAAGATAAATACAATAAAAATAGAAATGCACAGTATGTACCATGAATAGAGTGGTATTAACTAGTAACTAAACAACCTGGACAGTAGAGCAAGGATCACCAACAACAAGCAACAACCGTGTAGCGTTGTTGTAGTCATGTGAAGGACGATGATCTGGCACGAGGTGTTTTATTATAAAGTCTTATTGCAGTGGGCAGGAATGTTTTTCTGAATCTGTCCTTGTGACAGCGGAGCTGGATGAGTCTGTTGGAGAAAGTGCTCCTCTGTCCCTGCAGTAGGTTGGGGAGAGGGTGGTCCGGGTTATCCAATATGGACAATAGTTTCTTCAGTGTCCTCCTCTCCACCACCTCTTCCAGATTGTCTTGTTTACAGCCAATGATGGAGCCGGCCTTCTTAACCAGTTTGTTAAGTCTGTTGGTGTCTCCGGCTCCAATGCTGCTCCCCCAGCAGACTACGGCGAAGTAAAGTGCACTGGCCACAACAGACTGGTAGAACATCTCCAACATCTCGCTGCACACGTTGAAGGATCGAAGTTTCCTCAAGAAAAAGAGTCGACTCATCCCCTTCTTGTACACAGCGTTGATGTTGGTCTTCCAGTTCAGTCTGCTGTCGATGGAGACACCCAGGTACTTGTACTCCTCTACCATGTCCACGTCCTCTCCCAGAACTCTCAGCGGTTGTGGAGCCGTCGTCTTCCTCCTGAAGTCGACCACCATCTCTCTGGTCTTGGCCACGTTCAGACGCAGGTGATTTCTACCGGCCCACTCCACAAAGTCATCCACTACTGCCCTGTACTCCTCCTCCCGTCCGTCCCTTATACATCCGACCACTGCAGAGTCATCAGAGAACTTCTGCAGGTGGCATGACACAGAGTTGTACTGGAAGTCAGTGGTGTACAAGGTGAACAGGAAGGGAGACAGAACAGTTCCCTGCGGGGCTCCAATATCACTGACCACCCCATCAGACAGCACACTGCCCAGTCGGACAAACTGTGGTCTGCCCGTGAGGTAGTCAGTGATCCAGGAGACGGTGGACGCGTTAACCCCCACCACCCGCAGCTTCTCACTCAGAAGCACTGGTTGGATGGTGTTAAATGCACTGGAGAAATCAAAGAAAGTGATTCTCACAGAGCAACCGGATCCGTCCAGGTGCGACTGAGCTCGTTGCAGCAGGTAGATGATGGCGTCGTCCACCCCCACATGCGGCTGGTATGCAAATTGCAGAGGGTCCAGTGAGGATTTCACCTGCGGCCGGAGGTGGGCCAAGACCAGCCTCTCCAGCACCTTCATCACATGTGATGTGAGGGCAACTGGTCGGTAATCATTGAGGCCAGATGGTGTCGTCTTCTTAGGTACAGGAACCAGGCACGACGTCTTCCACAGCACCGGGAGTTCCTCCTGCTTCAGGCTCAGGTTGTAGAGATGTTGCAGAACATCAGACAGCTGGATGGCGCAGGTCTTCAGGACCCTGGGGCTGATGCCATCAGGTCCCGCAGCCTTGCCTTGGTGGAGTCTCTCCAGCTGTCTTCTCACCTGGCCAGTCGTCACAGAGAGGGGGGGAGGGGGGTCATTATGTCGGTGGTGGCAGAGCCCTTTGAAGTGGAGGGCTCTGAGTCCATGCAGCTCACCAGGGGGGACAGAGGGGGAGGTGTGGTGTGTGGAGGAGACAGATGAGGGCTCTGAGCTAAACCTATTGAAGAAGGAGTTTAGCTCGTTGGCCCTCTCCAGGGAGCCCCCTGGTTGTCTGCCTCCAACCTTGAAGCCGGTGATCTGCTTCATCCCTGTCCACACCTCCTTCACGTTGTTCTGCTGGAGTTTGGCCTCCAGCTTCCTCCTGTAGGTGTCCTTGCACTCCCTGAGCTTTATCTTCAGGTCACGCTGGACTGTCCTGATCTCCTCCCTGTCCCCAGACATATATCCCCGAACAGATTGAGGCAGTGTAAAGAATGGGTTGAGGGGGCGCCTGTGGTCTTGTGCTATGGGGTGTGTTCTACGAGTAATTGTTCTGGTCCTTTTATTTTTATCCTTAAGGTTGGCGTATATATTTGTTCCTATAGGAGGCAGTTATAATGGTGAACAAAAATGGGGGAACAATAGAGGAGAATGGGATGAATTATACTTTTGTAGAGCAGAAGGTGGGCAACGACGGAAAGTGCTTTGAGTTTGCGGACGGCAGACGGTCTTGTCGGCAGCATTTGTGGACGTCAGCGGGGTGTTGTTAAAAGCTCAGTTTATGGTCCAGAGTATTTATGCCAGTATGCAACAACAGAATCTCCCTCAGGTAAAACGCAAAGTGTAAATTGAGTCCGTGCGTTATTACCTTGGCTTCAGCCACGGCGATGCAGTCGTCCCACATGTGGAGCTCCTGGTACATCCCTATCGCTTCATCGATGGAATTCTGCAGAAAACGAGATAACGACATTTGACTCAGTGCTGCACAATCTTGACTTCTGCAAATAATAAAGCAAGTGCAGGTGTGATATTGATACACTGCTTTTAGAGTTCCTGATGTGGTGAGCTCAACCGTGGGCTCCTAATTTATGGGTAAACTATCTGACCAATCACAGGTGTTACCAACACAGATAGACAGAAGATAATGGTACATTCATTTGAAATCATTTTTTTTATTGCTTTTGAAATCACAACTATTCAAATGCTATTAAAGAGCACAATTTGCGGAATTTTGTGTTTGGTTTGTCAAGAATGCATCAGCAATTAATTCTACATATTATATACAAATATACATATTGGAAGTGTGTACGGGGCGTGTCGCCGACCTGCTCCATGTAGTGCATCTCAGCCAGTTTAAAGTTCTTATCCAGCATCGCCACGTGGGCTTGGACTTGGAAAAACGCTGTTCCATCTCCTCCCTGATCAAAAGACACACACACACACCCACACACACCCACACACACACACACACACACACACACACACACACACACCTCCGATTACTTTAATTTGTTCACTTTTATGACATTTAATAACTTTTATAAATATTTCCATACCACCCTAAAAACCCTGCATTTGTTGTATACATGGTCAGTTTTGAGATATCTGTTGTGATACGAAACACACCATTTCCTGTGAAACTTTGTCGGCAATCTGGTTTGTTTGGTTGAGGAAACGCAGAGTCGAGACGTCCCCCAATGCAGCAAAACACCTATAAAAGATAAAAGGAGAGAGAGAGAGAGAGAGAGGACATGTAATAAAAACAGAGGGAGAAAGAAGAAAACATTCAGTGAAGGAGGAAGGTAATATTGTCCAGTCAAAGCTCTCAAAAAACGGTTCACTCAATGAACTGAGATATAAATTACAGCTTTTGTCTAATTAGCCTTTAGATACGCTGCAGTTGGAGGGGCTGCGAGATGAAAAGGCTCGTCTTAGCATTTGGCCACTTTATTACCAACTCTCTCTGAACAGTTGCATCAGATTAATGAACAAGTCATGAAAGTAAAAAAAAAAAGAAAGTTAGAAAACTCCTTCTGTCTGACTCTTTCTCGCTTCCCTCCCTCCCTCATTAACATCCCTTTCCCTCCCTCATTAACATTACACACTTCACACAAAAACGTTTCTTCCCCCAATTTCATGATTTATGCAAATCAGGCCGATGCCTAACGAACAGCATATGCATTATTAATGACAGATAATTCCAATTTTTAAAAGTTTCTCAAAACAGAGAGAAATATGGAGTGAGAGAGAGAGCTAAATGTCTTTGATGATTAATGAAGTTAGAGAGGGGGGTCAGGCAGAAACACAGTCATCTGCTGTGTGTGTGTGTGTGTGTGTGTCCAAAAGCTTTTTCATTGCAGGTGACCAAGGTGCCCTTGTTGTCTCCATTCTCTTCAGTCACAAAGATAAGTCTCACGTACAATGAAGAATGATAAAGAATGTAATTAGCTCAGAGACACGGACATTAGCTTGCAAGGTTGTGTGTGTGTGTGTGTGTGTGTTTGTGTGTGTGCTTGTACAGCTACCTTTGTGGGGACCAATCACTCACTGTGGGACAGTAAGAATTAGGGCTAGGGTCAGCCATTTTTGTTGTGATGGCTAAGGTAAGAGTGAGGAGCTAGGGAATGCACAAAGTCATTGAGAGTCCTCACAAACATTAAAAGTACAAGGTTGTGTGTGCGTGTCTCGCTGACCTTTCTGCGATGTGCAGCTGGTGAGTCTCCAGAGCCAGCTTGCTGAGGGTCTTCCACATGGCTTCGGTCTCTGGTGACATGTCCAGAGTCTCAAGGTATGCTGTGGCTCTGTCAACACACACACACACACACACACACACACACACACACACACACACACAGCATCTGCAACACAAAATACTGTCGTAGCTAACTTTAT